CCTCGAACACCATCCTCAAGTCTTTCAGGAATCATGGCTCGACGCCCCAGAGCATTATTCTGATCGGAAGCGAAGAAAGTGATCAAGGGCGGAAAGACTACTTGCGGTCTGCGTGGCTTGGCCGCATGTTCTTGTGTTTGACTGCAGTTTCCTTTTTTGGCTTGGCCGCCTGTTCTTGTGTTGACTGCAGTTCATGCTTCCAGCCAAGGGAGGAGAGGAACTGCAAACGGCGGAAGACGGGAACCGCTGGAAGTCTCATCAGCATCGCCGGGGCCAGGGAGACAATGTACTTCGGGTGCAAGTCTGACCCCCTGCCTGCCAAAGAGCACAAATGGCTGGCGACTGATGGCGTGGTGAGCACCGCCTGTCCTGTCTCGGACTGAGACACGTCTGGGAGCAAAGTTTAATGACGGAGCTGGGGATAGGGAATCGTTGCTCTGAGGTGCTGCCGAACGTGCCCTTGCCTTCGCCTGAGAGCCTCATCCGGGTGACGGTGAGCCAGAAGAAGGAGGCCAGGAAGTCGGATATGTGCGAATTCATCCTGCTGTAATAATCGGTCAGGTCATCCCTTTGGTGTGTGGAAAGGGTGTGACCGACAACGGCGGCCAGGTGCAGGGCTGAGCATGTTGGGACGGCTCAGGCAGCACTAGTTATAGTTTCGGCCCCGGGAGGTGGCACCGGCTGAGCACGTGGAGGACACCGACACAGTCCCTCTGGTGCACTTCGAGAGGAGCTGCTGGCTGTGTCGCAAGTTTGAGTCCATTGTCTGGGCCGGTGAATTGAATTGGCAGGAGCCCACAGGTGTACCGGATGCTGCTGCACACGGTCTCGCCCATTGCCTGTGTCGTGAACTTTTCTCCGGGGTCGGGGTGCCTGAGCGTCGTCGCCGCAGAACAGCGGGTGCCCTGCATCAACGTGGTGAGGACAGGAGCTGGCTGGTCGCGTCAAGAATGCCAACGACCAGCGATTCTACCGCGTGCCTGAGCCGCAGAGGGCTGAGCCTGAGATGCCGCCTGTCTCGACAGCGGTTGCCTCGCCCGCGGTTCCGGTTCCCCCGCCTGCGACAACGACGGTGCCACCGCCTCAGACAACGACGGTGCCACCGCCTGAGAAAACCACGGATGTCTCGTCACCGTCTGGTGAGTCTGACAGCAGCTCAGGCGAGGACGTAGAAAAGTAGAAGGCCATTTGGGTCCAGTCTGATGGAGCATTGCACTTTTAACCATGCAGCTGAAGCCTGAAGCACGTCCAGTTTGAGACGTGGACCCAGCAGATTGCACTTTTCGCCCTCAAGGATGGCAGACGAGGTAAAACACCCGAGGATTGCAGAAGTTAGTACGTGATCTGTCAAACAACATGGTGAAGGTGCGACTTGGTCAAATCTCTCAATATCCGCAATTTTTGTGCTCGGAGTCTGAGTGCCGCCATGAAGCGGCCTGCCAAGAGGCAGGCGACCCAGCTGCAGAGGGCAGTCGCTGCTGGCGTCGTCAAGAAAGCCGTGAAGCCGTTCGCCTTATTTTGCCAGCAGCGTCGCCTGAGTCCACGAAAGGCGGCTAGTGCCTGGCGTGACTTGGGGGACAACGAACGAAAAGAATTCCTGGCGGCGTCCAGGCTTGGCTTCTCGAACCAACGGCAGGCAGCAGAGAAGGCAGGCGTTCGTCTGAGAAACTCTCAGCGAACCGACCCGCCTGTGGCACCTGAGCCTCTGTTGTCTGACCGTGCTCCGGACGACATCACCTTCGGCGACTACATCGTCTGTGGCTCTCAGGCCGGGGTTGGACAGGGCGGCTACGGCGGCATCATGAAAGTAAGGCACCGGGTTTCGCATCGCATCTATGCGGCCAAGGTCAGCAACACGAATTTCCACCTGTCTGAGGAAGTCGCCTTGCTGAAGCAGCTGGCTCACGAGACCTTTCTGCCGTTGCTCGCAGAGTCGGTGGTGACTGAGGATGAGTTCGTTCCCGGCCAGATCTCCTTCATGATCATGCCTTACGTGGCCGCGGGCTCCGTCCTGCATTACTTGCACAACGTTGGAGCTTTTGATGCTGAGAAGCAGTTGGCCCTCACCCATCAAGTGCTCGCCGGCTTGGCCCACCTGCACAGGAGGACTGAGCATATACACGGTGATGTGAAGCCGCAGAACATTCTTTATGATCCATTGACAAACTCCTGTTTCATCATCGACTTCGGGATGACATACCGGCTTCCACTGGCAGAGGATTTCGTTCCACTGGCAGAGGATTTCGTGGAGGACGGGGCAGGGGTGTACACCTATGCCTACCGAGCGCCTGAGGTTGCCAAGGGCATGTCTGAGAAGATCCTCAAGAAATTTTTGACTGTGAAGGCCGATGCGTGGGCATTGGCCATGACGGTTCACCAGGCAGCTACCAAAAAGGCCTTGTTTCATATGAGCCCCTGGAAGGCAGCGGAAAGTTTGTTGGAATTGTTTGATGCCTGCAACCCGGGCCCGCCTGACAAGAAAGCACGGTCTGTCCTCAGACTGAGCAATGCCAGTCGGGAGGTTGCCGAGGAAGTCCGTCTGATGTGGCTTGCGATGGCTGAACCGGTGCTCCAAAAACGCCGGTCTTGCCAGCAGCTTGCAGAGGAGCATGGCCTGCGGTGATTCGCGAAGCATTGCAAGCACAGTAAAACATGCAGAGCGACGTTGAAGTGGCAGACGTGTGCGTCTCTGCTGGCCTCTGCACGTGTGTGTGTGTGTCGGTGTGATCGTGTGCTGCAATGAATGACAATGACGGCCTGGACAGGTTCCGTTGCGTGCAGCGAGATGTGAAGCAGGAGCCCCAGCTTTGCTTGATACTTCAAGGCACGGCAGCCTTGACCTCTGCTGCTGACTGTAGGTCTGGGTCAGCATTGCGGGAGCAGTGCAGTCAGTCACCATCTCAGTCTCTTGCACCGTCTTGTCGGATGACCTTGGATTGTTTGCCGGGAAGCATACGAAAGTTGCAGTTCGGGCTCCGAGTGCTAGATCCCACTGTGCACAGCCCGGGCTGCATTTTTGGCATGGCGGGCTCAGGCAGGAAAATCTGTGTAAGTTCTTCTCGGGCTGCTCTTCATGACTATGAATTATGCTGTCTTCCACGTTTCCTTGATGAGGAGCGTCTGACATCCCGAATGCAGCGACTGCTGCGGCCATTAGTCGGGCCCGGGACCTGAAGTAGCCGGATATTATCCCATTACACGACATCGACTTTGCTTCTTTCGACCAGGTGGATAATCTTGTGAGTCTCCTGATGCAGAAGAAGGGCAAGACTCCGGCCACGAAGTCCACGTATGGATTGGTGAAGATCAAAGAGGGCTTCAAAGTGAAGGGGTTGGCCGTGCAGCACCACAGCGGCATGCGGGACCTCTTGAAATTCATGATGCAGTCGGCACCAGAGCAACTAGACATGCAAGTCCGGACGATACACAGACAGATGACCGGCTGAGTGATTTCAACTGCCTCCTCCAAGGAGCAAGATCACGACGTTGGATATACTGTTTGACCCGCCGAATCAGGTGCAAATGGCAGGCTGGAGTTGCAAGCGACCGGCTGTCTTTCAGTCCCCTGTCGCCCCCGTATGAGGCTGGTCTGACAAGCATGAGGTGGTCTTGTTCCCCTGCGGGACTCCACCTTCGCCTGAGAAGGCTGACGAGCGTGTCGGCCTGTGGTATCATCGGGTAGCCGAGAGCAAGGGAATCTTCGATGGTGGCTTCTTCCACAAGGCCGCTTTCGAGCATTTGCACCTGCAAGGGCGAATACATAATAAGAGACACTCGTCAGTCAAACTCTTACTTGAAACGTGCAGAGGTCGCCACCATCCCAGGCCATATGGCCTTTGTGTGCCCTCGTGCAGCAAGAGGTCGTGTGTACCTCTTGGGAAGGAATATCATCCAGAAAGCAGAAGATCATCTGTCGCCTGAGAACAAGAAGGACCTGGAATGCATGGGGTTCGCTGCGGAATATGGCGGCAAGCTCTCCAAGCCGACCCTCCTCACCCGTGGCCATGTGATGGACATCGCCAGCCCCCTGGCCGAACTGGTTGCAAAGCCTGAAACCTTGTGTCTCTTGCTGAATCTTCCTGCCTGAGGACAGATCTACCTCAAACACGTGAAGAAGACTGTACCTGTGCGACAGGGCTCGAAGCGGGCTTACTATTGCCCACACTGCAACCAGGAGGCAAGCTTGGGGACACTTCTGCGGGAGAAATGCTTTTGTTGTCCTGGGCAGGTGGAGCCTGTGAGCAAGAAGTCCAAGAAGGAGAAGAAGGAGAAGAAGAACAAACGTGACTGAGCCGTTGTGTATGCAATCGCACAGGATTCAAGGCCCAGTCTGAAGCATTTTCTTTGCGGTGGGTGTTGCTTATTAGAAACAGCACCGCCTGAAGCATGGGGCTTGGGCAAGTTTCTAGTCTCGCCCTGCAGAGAGACGATTAGCAGTCGTGGCGCCGAAAGTCTGTTGCATCGCTGAGTCTGACAAGGCAGCCTGAGGCATGTCATCATGAGTATCATGAGCTGCATAACAAATCCGATGCAGAGGCCGTGTAGGCCCAGGCTTGATCCTTAGGACGGTTGTAGAGAGGCATGACATCAGTAGAAGCATAGCAAGTCCGATGCCAATGTATGCGGCATGCACCTGCGACAGTCGTGACAATAGTTCACAGGGCCTCCTAGGGCAACAATGGCCGAGCGTATTGCCGAAGAGAAGCATTTGCGGCGATGCCCCGCGACTTGCCTTCTGACCATGTGTGCCTGCCTCGCCATGTTCCTGCAGTGAATCCTTTCTTGACTGAGGAAGGCAAAAAGCATTGCAACGAGTGCCGGTGGATAGCACATGCTGCGGACTGGAAACAGCGGTGTACTTACACCATCAAAGGCGGGAATCTTGCGAAGGCGGTAAGACAGGACGAGCGAGTCTGTCATGCCAGGTTCGACCAGGTCATGGCTGATCCGGTCTGATCCGGGCACGAAGTTCGGCATCGGGTGCTCAGTCTGCCGTGAGTATGCCGCAGCCCTCGGCGGCAAGGAATGCGTGCCACTGCGTAGTCGGCCTTGGATCGAATGCAGCGTTGGTGCTGGACTTCGGTGCCTGGGATCGCGAATGGCATGGCATTGACAGCGGTGCATGGTGTGCTTGAGGTTTTCTCTTCTCGTGCTTCATGTCAGGTGTGGCGGCAGACCGGCTGCTCTTCAAATAGAGGACATGCTTCGGCACGGCGGCCTGAAGCAGAATGCCAATGCCCAGAAAAGCAAATTCCACCTGGCTGCTGTCCGTTTCCTTGAAGGCAAGGCTGAGGACCACGATGAAGGCCAGGGGGTGGACGAAGATAAGACAACCGTGAAACGGCTGGTCTCGTCTGATACTGGCGGCCCCACAGCCGCCCAATGCTTGACGGCACTGGAAGTTCTACTTGCTGGAGGTTCCGGGCACGAATACCAGAGGCGGTGTCTGAGCAACAATCGCACAAATCCGACTTTATGGCCAACGGGGCGTTCGTCCCGAGGAATGTTTTACAACATCATGGAGGCTGCGGCTGAGGCCGCCTTCAACGTGGACCGCCGTCGCCTGCAGCAACCCGTTCGGGCAGTGGCCTTGGCTGAGGAGCCGAATGCCAAGAGTAGTATCCATGCCGGTTTTCAGTGCGTCGTGTGTTGCAGGATGCAAGAGGCGGCTTCGAGCTTTTGAAGGTGCGGTACGTCATGGCCGACTGGTCCGTTCATTGCCGCATGCTAGACCTGGCCACGGCTGAGAAGGCTGGGCAGCACGTGAGCCAGGGCAGATCGGGTTCCAGTACAGTAGCCCTGCCAGCCGAGGCCGCACTGGACAAAGCCAGATCGCTGCCTGACACCCTGGCCAGCTTCTTGCCGGAGGAAGCCCTCCGGAATGCTTTCAAAGACAAGATCCGCATCTTTATGGCCGACGGGGAATTTAGCGAGCCTCTGGCGGCACGGCTGAGTAAAGTGCCTCGCTTGCAGTTTCTGCGGATTTCAAGAACAGCATATTGAATGTTTGAAGGACCGCACCTTCACATGAGGTCCAGGGAACCCTGCCGGGA